TTCAGTTAATGTTACTGCAAGGGAAAATGTCAGTTGTGTAACTTTACGATCTTGTTTCGCTGCTCCTCTATTTCTTCTCTCAAGGCAGCATCTTTGGAACCACACTTGAAGCACCATACAAACGTTCTCAGCTGTTCTGGTGGCATCTTTGGACCTTGTAGTTTTAGGCCTGGTCTGTGCGTTGTCACCCCCTCTCTGCTACCTTTCCAGCCATTTCTGTTCCTCCTCCAGCAACTGGCCAGACAAATACCGGTAACTCATGGTTAAGTCTCTCTCTTGCATGGACTCTAAACTGGTCATTAGGACATCCTATGAAGTGTCCAATGAACTGAGCACCACATACACCTTATGTGTCTCAGTAAAAGTCATTCCTATTTCTTCTAACTCTAGGAATGTCTTTCTCATGGACTGCAAATGAGTAGACATGCTCTCTGTGCCTTATATAGCTTTCCTGTCAGCATTACTTTGCTGCTCGCAGGCTCTCTCATGTACACACTGCGCAAAGCTTTCCAGCATTCTTTAGCAGACTGGAGACCCCTCACGTGTATCAGCTGGCTATCTTCCAAACTCAGTATCATGCTGGCCAATGCTTTCTTATTCTTTCTCCGGTCCTCATCATCCAGGACTGCAGATGGATCAGCAACTATCATCCACAACTCCTCCCTTCACAGGTACATCTCCATTTTCAGACACCAGGAGAGGTAGTTGGTCTCATTCAAATGAGATACTATGAAACCTCCTCCCATTATGCTGATGGAGTCCATGTTGCCTACTATCACCACAAACCACAACAAACCACAAGCCTTAACTCCTCTGGCTCTGGATCAAGCTCTCACTGGGTTTCTCCTCACTCTGGACCTATAACCTGTCAGAGCATGCACAGTCTTATTGTGCGAGATAACCCAGGAGTAAACACAGTAAACAGTGGTCTATATTAAATGGTAGTTTATCTTACACTATCTACAATATCATACACCAGGAACAATATACATACACGTGCTAATACAGTAGGATCCAACACACAGCAGTTACAGCAGAAATACAGAAGAGAGAGCACACATCTGCAGAGCCTTCCCTTTTATACAAAGGTCTTAAAGAGATACAGACTCACCCGGCTCTTAAAGGGTCATAGATCCTGCTGAGTCATTCCCAACATTACATCATACATTTTACGTTACATCAGCTGGTTAGCTTCTAAATCATTACCTTGACATAGTTCATGTCAGGAAATGGATTGCACAAGAAATACAGGAGCTCTCTTTTATTGACATTATCATCTATATAACAAAATCTTGACAGACAATAACATTTCCTCTTAATTCCTTATATTAAAGAAAGTCAAAGCGGGGCAAATTTAAGTTTCCTTCTCATGCTATCTTGTCTTCTGGGACTTAATTCAAGTTTTGCAAATGATCTTTGTGTTCCTTCTCCAAGTCAAGTCCATGGTTCTTGCACATATTGAAAAGGGGAAGGGGAATCATCTATTGTGTCAGCATGTTTCACTGGAGTGAACATTTCTCCTGTTATATGTCTCTTCATTGCTCCAATTATATTTTAATATTTTATCATCAATGCCAAGTACAACAATACGGCCTGTTGCTAACTCCCTTCAATTGGAGTTATAGCATTAGATAGAAGCAGAGAGGCAGGAAGATTAATAATACAGGTAGTCCTCGATTTATGACCACAAACAAGCCACATTTTCATTGCTAAGCAAGAGAGTTCTTAAGTGAGTTTTGCCCCATTTTACAACCGTTCTTGCCACCGTTGTTAAGTGAATCAATAGAACTAAGTCCAATACTGCATCCAGCTTCGGTCACCACAATATAAAAAAGATGTTGAGACTCAGACTACTGCCAGGACCATCCAGGAACTGCGCAGAATCTGTGCAACACATGGACTTCCAGACGTGTTAGTCCCTGACAATGGGGCCTCAGTTTACTGCTTCCGAATTCCAGTCTTTCCTCAGGGCAAATCTAATATGGCACGCCACGTCGGCTCCCTTTCATCCGGCCTCGAACGGCCAAGTGGAACGCATGGTCCGCACAACAAAGGAATCACTAAAACGGATTGTCACAGGGGATTGGCACCACAGACTGGCAGATTTTCTACTCTGCCAATGCACAGCTCCCTGTACCGCCATGGGCAGAAGCCCTGCCAAACTCAGATGGGGCCGACGTTTGATCACCAAGCTGGACAGGCTGCACCCCAACCGGGTTGCCTCGGACTCTGCTCAGCCAAAGGCACCTTGGAATTTGCAAGTGGGTGACCGGGTTTGGACCCAGAATTATGGGCAAGGGCTTTGTGGGTGGCAGCCGTGGTTGTTAAGGTGTCGGGACCACTCTCTTATGAGGTGGTCCTGGAAGATGGGCGAGTCATTCGCCGGCACATTGACCAGCTGCGTTGGAGGCTAGCGAACCAGTCACTGGCTCAGGACTCTCAAAAGGGCCGCATGCAACAGCCATGCGACAGCAGGCCAACAGAGGAGCTTGCACGCTCCAACAGAACTCTTACTCAAGGAGACGGGGAAAAGGCCGTAGGAGAGCTTCCCCTGGATAGACAGACAGTATCCGCTGAACAGGACCGACAAACTGCGCTGAGACTTTGCTGCACGAGTGGACTTTGGTTTGGGCTGACCGAGACTGGCCGGCCAAAGGGACCCAAGTCAACCTGACTTCACTGGACCTCAGAGTCCTGGTCTACCCAGCCTGGCAGGCGAGCGGGTAGACCAGGAGACCCCTGCAACCCCTAGATGTTCAGACTGGTCAAGAAGGCTGCCTAAATATCTAGAGGACTATGTCCAGCAATTGAGAGTTTGAGCCATCTAGGGGGAAGGAGTGTAATGTATTGGCCACAACTGTTTTAAATCACTTGCTTAATGTCTGACCTACATTGCTGTATTGTTTAACAGTTGCTGTTACTGAAAGCCAGACTGGCTGTCTCCAAGCTGATAATGAGGTTTGGGGTGGGAAACTTACTTTAAACCTATTGGTTGCCACCTAGAGGCTAACTGTATAAATAGCTGTGCAGCAGCCTTGAGGGCTGCTTCTGTTCTGAGTTAATAAACTTGTTTGCTGTTTCAACACTCTGCCTTGTTCAATGCCTGAAGAACCGAAGATATAACAGAATGTTTGGATAATACTTCATTGCAAATAATGCAAACAGGAAGCTACTGATTGTTTTCTTCCACAAAATAAAATCCAAACTTCAAATAATCTTCACTGTATTTTTGATCCGGTGCCAGTTTTAATTTCTTCGGTGGTGGTTCCTTTGCTGAATCACTTTCCTTTTGTACTGATGAACATATGATGAATTTCTCCATATTTATTAATACGCACCAGTACCTTGGTGGTCAGGTGGCTGGTCAGCCCTTCTTCCTCTCTCCCTCTCCTCTCTCTTTCTCCTCATCCTTCTCTCACAAAAGCCTCTCTCTCTTTCTCACTCTTTGCTAACAAAAGCTCCCCTCTCTCTCTCATCCTTTACTCACAAAAGCCCCCCCTCACCACTTCACCCACAAAAGCCCCTCTCTCTCATACACACACACACACAAACACTTTGCTCGCAAAAGCCCCCCCTCTCACCCTTTGCTCATAAAAGCCCCCCCCCTCACCCTTCGCTCACAAAAGCTCCTGTCAATCTACAAACCCTACTGCCTTTAGGACTGCTACATGCTTCTAGCTTGCCAACAGATGCAGGGGGTGGAGAAGGGGTGAACTTTGAATCCATAGGTGTCCTTATCATCATGAGACTAGAAGTTTTGTTTTGGTGAACCAAAGTGCCTTCTCATAACAATTCCGGGAGATGTATTGGACAATGTAACCTGAACTGTCAGAGAGGAGAGGAGGACATTCCTTCTTTTAATTAACTGTTTCCCACCATTTCTTCGGAGCTAGCTTTCACTTTGAACCTTCGGTAATGATTCTGCTCATTAAATATTACATTAGAGTAATTAATGGCTCTAGTGTTTTTCTTAGTTGGGCTTTTCAACTGGAGGTTGACTGCCACTCTCTCTCTCTCTCACACCCTTCGCTCACAAAAGCCCCTCGCTCGCTCTCTCACCCTTCACTCACAAACCCCCCCACACACATTCTTCATTGACAAAAGCCCTTCGCTCTCTCTTTCTCACCCTTCACTCACAAAAGCCCCCTTCACACACCCTTCATTGACAAAAAACCTTTGCTGTCTCTTTCTCACCCTTTGCTCACAAAAGCCCCCCCCCGCGCTCTCTTACCCTTCACTCACAAAAGCCCCTTGCTCTCGCTCTCACCCTTCGCTCACAAAAGCCTCTCTCACAAGCGCTCTCCTTACCGCTTCGCTCACAAAATCCTCTTCTCTCTCTGTGTGTGTTTTTTTTCTCTCCTGCCAAAAACTGCTCCTTTTATAGCCTCTCCTCTCCACCCTCCTCCTCCTTTTCCGGGTGCGCCGGAAGCTCCGATCAACATGTAGCCGTGCGTGCTGATCCTAGAGCTTCTGCCAAGCCCTGACAGCCTGCAGCTCCAACTGATTTCCTCCAGGCCTGTGCAATGCCGCTTTAGCTCATTTCCTCCCCTGCTACACTTGCCTTGGGGTCGCATACCACCTGCCAGGTACTAAAGTACCACCGGTTGAGGAAAAACCTCAAAGATACTTCAAAGATTATTGGCAAACTGCAAGGGAGTATGGAAATTGCAGGAACTGGCTCCTGCCAATAGGAAACTGCCCATTGCAAAACTCTTATGTTCACCCTTTTCTTTAGAGCAGCTACTGAGCTAAATTGAACTGGATCAACTTGCAAAGTTTCCATAAATCCAACTGCATCAGAGATACCCAGAAATGTAGCACTGCTTGCAGATCATTTGTTGCAGAAGGGGGTTGTGTTCCTTAATGATTAAGTGGCTACAAAGGAGACAGTAACAGCTGTGAGAAAATGAAGTGGGCTCAGCACAGGTTGGCATGTCCTACAGTTTGCTGAACAGTGCTGAAGTTAGGCCTTATTAACATCTGTGTTTTACACCTGGCAGTATGAATTCAAAGCCAAAAGTATAAAGAAGAAGAAGGTGAATCTGTTGGTATCTGTAGATGGTGTGAAAGTGGTACTGAAGAAGAAGAAGAAGGTAGGTTCTTGATTTCTAAAACTTTCACCCTGTAGTACAGTTAAAAAATCCTTTTTGTAAATGAAAGAGACTTTAACTATTGCTGTGAAAATTTTGGTGTTTGAAATATTGTCTATGTACAGATAATCCTTGGTTATGACCAGTTGAATAGCAGCCATTCAGAGAGCCTACAGACCCCTCTCCCCAAAGCCTGGTTCAAAAGTTATGTCCACTGCAGTGACCCTGTGGTTGTTTACTGTTATAATCAACAGCAGGGATTATCCAACAATTGCTAGACACATTTTTAAACATTTTTGCTAATCTTGCAGGTGGTAAGTGCCATCTATAGAACATTTTATATAATTTTTCTTTATAAATAGTTGCCCTCGTTACTTTGTAATTTCTTTCCCATAGGTTTTGCCATTTTTCTAACTCTACATTATGCCCAAAGTTTTTTGCCCAAGTTATCATTGTTTCTTTAAATTGTTCATCTTCCATCTTTAAATTTAACAGAAAGCTGTACAGTTTCTTAATCAATTTGTCATCTGATGACAATAGTATCTGGTCTAATGTTGTCTGGTCTTTGTAAAAACCATATATTTTTGCATCTTTCTCATATCTCATTTGCATTTGCAGGTGTGGCCACCATGATAGTTCAATGCTCTGTTCTTCCAATTCTTGTTTAGGTTGTACTGTAGTTTCCCATCAGTATTCAAAATATCTGGTGATCGTTCTTATATTTTTCTTGCTGTCTTTCCTGTATATTCTGTACTATCTCCCCCATGTTTGTTAAAAAAAATATGAAAATCATTGTTTTGAACACTTCTACTCTAAAGATGAGTACAATTGACTTTGGGCAAAGTCCACCTTTTCTAGATGCACTATTAGAGCCATCAACTTTATTTATTTATTTATTTATTTATTTATTTTGATTTATATCCCGCCCTTCTCCCAACGGGACTCAGGGCGGCTCACAACATATTTAAAAACAGAAACGTATTTACAATCCCCACCAAATAAAACCAAATTAAAACCAATTATTTAAAGTTGTGCTGCTTAAAATTGTTCTTAAAATAAACCCGATTTAAAATAAACCCGATTTAAAATCCTCCCTAGGCCAGGCCCGCTTGCTGGAAAAGCCATGTCTTGAGAGCGCGGCGGAAAGTAAGGAGATCCGGAATCATCCGGATCTCGGGGGGTAGTTCGTTCCAGAGGGCGGGGGCACCCACAGAGAAGGCCCTCCCCCTGGGGGTCGCCAGCCGACATTGCTTGGCCGACGGCACCCTGAGGAGACCCACTCTGTGGGAGCGTACCGGTCTATGGGAGGGAATCTGTGGCAGAAGGCGGTCTC